CCTGAGTTTGAATAACCAAAATCCAGTAGTTGACAACGGTTCTGCCTCCTTAGATAACACGTCATAATCACATTCGTCTTCGTACCAATTTGGAGATTCTAATAACATCGTAATGTCTAATTCTTGAATTTCCTGGGCTTGCTAAGGAAATCATCCCAGAAGAATTGTTGTTTAAACAAAATGATAATAAAGCTTCATGGTCCTTATGGATTATTCTAATATGCTCGAGTCGTCACTTTCATTCACTAATCCTACAAAATATAATCGAAATTTGCTTAAAGATCGATATATGTTGTTCATAAGAAAATCGTCGTTTTGCATTCATTATTTCTCCAAAAGTAAAATTTGTAACCATTCAATCATAATTATTAAAAAGAAAAACGGTTACCTGATTCTAATTTAAAATCGACATTATCTCGAGTCATCGTTCGATAATCTAGTTTCTTTCCAAATACTGCTTTTATAAAAACTTCCTGTGCTTGTTCCTGCCTTACTAAGTAATTCCACAATCTTCGAATAGCCCAGTAGATGAATTAACGAGGAACGGCGTATTATCTTTGTTCAAGAGGAACGATATCTGTGTATAGCTGGCCCTTGTCCGCTGCTTTCAACAAAACAACCTATAAATAAAAGACAGAAATGGTGAAAACCAAATAATATATATTATATGTAATATAAAGTTCATAAAATTAGAAATATTTCAAAATTTAATATATAAGTAATGCTATGAATCTTATTATCGTAACTAGATATAAGATATACAGCATATATAAAATTAACATTGAAGGTATTGGAGGTATGTATTATATAGTACAATACATAAAGATACTATGTAAGAGGGTTGCGAATTTTTAATTAAAAATTTGGGATTAAAATTAGATATATAACTTTTTATTTGAATGAACGCAAAAATGTTATTTTAAAAGCAAATAATTTTTAATTTTATTTGAAGGAAGATTTAGCCCATTTTGGCGTTAGTGACACATATTCTATTAGTGTCTGCGGAACACAGAACGCGAAATTAACGCTGTTTCGGTTTAGCGAGTTTATTTCAACTCGGAGATTCCTTGAAATTGTTCATCTGAATACACACAGACAATGGACCAAGACGGTATTTCAATTTTAAGGCATACTACTTGCGGCTAACATTAAAGCAGATGTTTGAAAAATAGACGAAGCAAGAAGCAAGCAATAAGAGAATTTTGGAAAACTTATCATGAATACTGTGAAAACCTTTGTTGGAGTGAGATAACAAAAAGATCTTTGAAAGGGTTGTGGATGAACATTTGGCCAGATTTAAATAAGAGCGAAAACACTCTGGTGAAGAAAACAAAATATTGATAGTAGTACTTTCGAAGAAGAGCAAATAAATTTTCGATGGCGTTGGTAAAAGGAGTTTGACCATCAAAAATGAAATTATGGACCAAATTTTAAAATTATCCAAATTTTGACAGGAGTCCAAAGGAAAACGGGATATGTTAGATGCTTTATCCACTTATCAACAACTATTAACAGAACGCAAATTTATATAAAATATATTGGTTTATATTTTTAATTTTGTAAAAATACTTGTTCGTTTTTATTATTTTTAACATAATTGTTAAATTTAATAGAGTCATCTTTCCCTAACCCCATTATTTACAAGTTAAAGTAGTATCGTTTAGCGCTGTTTCGCATTACGCTCTACTTTGATGAAACGTATCCTACGCGTTAAGCGGGTCTTACTGTACATGAGAATACAAGATGCGATGGCGCAAATTTGAACCACTAATTAATTATGGGAACAAAGTTTACAATAGGTGTATTCAGATCGAACAACATGTTGTCTAGTAATTCGTTAGTTGATAATTCGTTAAAACATTTAACTGTGAACATACTTTTGCTCTATTTCAGTAGTGTTAAATTTTGTTCCAAACTGCTGATTAAATTTTATTAAATAGTAAAAATGCTTCGAGAAAGCGGAAAATCAGAAATTGTCAGTATTTTAATTGAAAATTCTGTGGAGATCAAATTTATTACTATTGAATGATATACAGAGGACCATTGAACTAACTTTCAAATTCTTTCAAGACGTATTCAGTGAGGATGTAGATTTGGTAGAGAATACCATTGACGAGCTATATGATGAGTTACTCATTTCACAAAACTGTCGTAGAGGTGTAGAAAATATTGTTGCAAAGTAAATTCGTGGTGCGACGATATTTTAACCAAAATGGATGATAATCGGTCCCATCAAATTTCGAGTATGCCGAACTCAATTTGCTTACTTATTGTCCCTGAAAGCATGATGATGGTAAGCAATTCCCAATTGATATACAGCCAGCTGTCGTTCTATATAGATTGGGTTCCTTTGGAGAAAGTGCATCGATACGAGAAATTGCGCCAACTTTTGGGATTGGTGACGGGAGAACGTTGACCAATATTATTCGCAAAGTATTCAAGGCATTTTTAAAACAACTTCATTATATATATTATTGACCAGATCACACTGAGCACTCTGAATTAGAGAAACGTTCAACGAAGTACCATTTTGTGTAGGTTACGTGGATGGCACTCAAATAAAATTCTCCGAATCGACAATAAAATCATTAAACGTTTTTCCCGATATCATATATTATATATGCAATTAAAGCTCAAATGGTTTGGGACCACAAGCTCAAAGTTGGCGATGTTGTCGTTGGCTACACGATGCAAAATGTTTAACAATTGTGCACCAAACAAATATCAGCCAAAATACTTTACAGACAGGAATGGGTGCTGGAGACTCTGCATACCCCTCAATAACATAACGCCTTACAGAAGCAACTCTCAACAATTTGACCCAACCAAAGAAAAACAATCTTTGGTTTCCTGCTGCAGTGCTAAACTAATAGACCTATTTGAAATATTAATTTAAAGTTTTAGTACGGTATGATTAAAGGTGTAAGTATCGAAATATGCAAGAAAATAAAAAAAATTTATTTTAAAAGTATACAATAGGTGTATCCTTAAGAAAGAGGTTGGTATTGAAATATTACCTTAAGAGTGTTAATCGAGAATTAAATAATATATTATAAAACAAGGAAAACGTTAACTTCGGTTGCACCGAAGCTATAATACCAGAGGCTCCTTGCCAGAACTTGATTCTCGATCGTTCAGTTTGTATGGCAACTATATGATATATACGATATCTAAAAATTTCGTCAAATAAAATAATTTTCCATGCAAGCACTTTACTCCGATCGTTCACTTAATATGATCTATTCAATTTCTTCGGCGATTTGATTAATGCCATAAGTAAACCATGCCGAATTTCGTGAAGATACCTCGTCAAATAAAACACTTTTTATACAAGCGCTCGATTCCGATCGTTCAGTTTGTATCGCAGCTATACGCTATAGTCATCCGATCTGAATAATTTCTTCGGAGTATACATTGTTGCCTTAGAAAATAACTTATGCCAAATTTCGTGAAGATACCTCGTCAAATAAAAAGTTTTCCATACAAGTACTTGTTTCCGATTGTTCATTTAATATGGCAGCTATATGCTATAGCCATCCGATCTATACAACTTCATCGGAGATTAGATTAATGCCTTAAATAATAATACATGCCAAATTTTGTGAAGATACCTTGTCAAATGAAAGACTTTTCTATACAAGCACTTGATTCCGATTGTTCAGTTTGTATGGCAGCTATATGCTATAGTGGTCCGATATCGGCCGTTCCGACAAATGAGCAGCTTCTTGGCGAGAATAGCTGGAAAACTAAGGACTAGTTTGTATATATACAGACAGAGAGACGGACATGACTAAATAAACTCAGCTCGTCGTGCATATCATTTACATATGTAAATATAATTTTTATAGGGTCTCCGAGGTTTCTTCGGAGCCATGTAGGCATTAGGCACTCCTATTCCTGCTCTTAGTCCACAAAATATTTGTTATATTTTAATAAGTTGTACTATGCAGCTTGTATTCATACGAGGGCTTCTATATAGCTGGCTGGCCTAGGCAACACTAAGTGTTGGTTGCAAGTCTGACATTTCCATTGGAAAGTTTGACATTTTTTAGCATAACATCACTCAGAACGTTTTGTAATTTAATCGTGAATTGTTTTATTTACAGGGAATTAAAAAATTCATCTCGGCCAAAAAATGGAATTAACTCGTGAACATTTTCGTGCGATCATTTTTCACAACTTTCGACGTGGATTATCACGACAAGAGTGCATCGATGAACTTAAATCTTTTATGGCTATGAAGCACCATCCTATAGCACTGTGAAAAACTGGTACAACGAATTCAATCGTGGCCGACGCTCGCTCAAAGACGAATTCCGTGAAGGTCGTCCAAAAGCAGCCGTTGTGCCAGAAAACATCGATGCCGTACGTGAACTGATAATGCAAGACCGTCATGTAACATACCTTCAGATAGAGGCATGCCTATGCATTTCTCCCACCAGCATACATTCGATATTGCATGAACACCTGGCCGTAAAAAAGTTCTCTTTGGATCCCGATCGCTCAAAAAACGGCTCGTGGGGATTGGTGTAAAGAAATGCTGAAAAAATACGATCGCGGTGCTTCAAAAGACGTTGATAAGATCGTCACAGGTGACGAATCATGGATCTATGCGTATGAGCCCGAAACAAAACAGCAATCGACCGAAAAAAAAACCATTTTCGTTGATAAATATTCGTATTTTCATTATTAGGCCAGAAATATATATAGCAGCCCTCGTATAAACGTGACAATACTCTCATCGACACATTTCTCTCTACTCTACATGTGATAATTGTAATTGGCAGGTCAATAAATACATTCAAGAAAGATATCTTGAAAAAAATTTACAGAATCTATTTAAAAATGTTTTGACTTTAATTGAGGTATTATATGAAACATCGTGCTGTAACAATTAAAAATTACCTATGTAAAAATGTAACTGCTCAATAGGAATTTATAACAAATAAAAATGTAACGCCATAGCTTAGTAACAATTCAACCGTTAGGAAAGTAATTACCTGGTATAAAGTCTTCAGGTGGCGGTCCTTTGGTTATCAATAGATTTATCGCAAAATCTTGCCATCGTCTAAGAGTTCGCAAAAGTTCATGTGATAGAGGACTCAAAACTGGTAAATCTAATAAAAAAAAATATATTTGAAAAGTTTTAAAGTGAATTAAGTTCAGAATATATCTGCTACATACATATACATATGTACAAGATGTTTGGTCAATAATAAAAAAAATAAACAATGTGTTCGAGTATAAACGAACATTTTATACTCTCGCAATTTCATGAATCAACGCCAGGGAAATGCCTAAGATGCTGGCAAATGTTAGATCAAAAAATATTTCGAAATAATTCAGCATTTATTGTTCGATTAAAGCCGGAAAAGATTACATTCATTAGTGGTATATTATTAACTTAAATTATATTAGTTGCATTAGTATATTTGTTCATGTCTCAGATATTTATATCAAAATCAATCTAATTAACTCAAATGAGATATATGTACAGTGTACAGCATAAGTGAATGCATTTCACTGTATGTGATATAAACTCAACCAAAGTGGCAAAATTTAATGGAAAAAGTCAACCAGAGAAACGAAAAGAAATATATTAGAGATAAGGGACTTCGACCACTTAACAGCGGCTTAAAAGTAATATTGCTGGTTTAATAGTTGCAGATGATTGGACGTCTGCAGGTCCACATTAGAATCTATTGGACTACAGTTTGTAGTCAGAGTTTGAGAACATGAACTGCCGAATACCACACAGAAATTTGGAGAGTCTCAAGAAATCTTTGGTTCTTTTTACGTGTATGCATACCTTGGATTTCTATACCCGCTACATTTACAAATTCTTGAATTTTAGAAGAAACCAGCTGAAGAACCGCTAATCGTAAAATACTCCAAGAATATGATGAAGGATTTAGATGTTCGGTATTGCACTTTGGTTGCCGATAATTCATTTTAGAGTTATTCATTTCCGTAGGATCATCATCATCTTCATCTTCATTATCACTTTCAATAGGATCATCAGTATCGTAGTCGTCTTCATCTTAAAATAAATAAAACAAAATGTATTATACCATATATGTATATGTATATTGTAACTAATAATACAAATTATTATAAAATTGCACTGCAATATAAAATTTTTATTTATTTTATTTATTCATAATACTCAATTATCCGAGCTTAAATATTAAGTTTTAAAACACTCGTTCCACTGACAGATATCGTGGAAAATTTTTTTGGCAATTAATATAACACCAGTTAAAAAGTATCTCCGCAACTAATTTCAAAACGTGAAGCTTAGGTTATGCGAAAAAGTTGGTTATAATTTTTTTTTGTATAATATATGTTTTTGAATGTGAAGAAACACTTAAGTAACATCAGTAAATTGGAGTACTTGTAAGCAAAAATCACTAAAAACAATTAAGTTTACATCTTCAAATCAATCCCGGTTATTGCGGAAACCAAGACAGAGAGAAATGCAAATCAATTGTGAGTTTCAACGGTGTCCGGAATTTAATTGTATTTTCGTCTTTAAGAACATAGCCGTTTAATTTAAATCATTTTAAGCATTCATGAAAAGCAAAGAAATATGGATCAAATTTGTGCAGCCATTGTAGTTTGATTATTGGAGGAAGTAAGAACAAGCGGAAGATTTTACAAGACAAGTTCATATGAATCCGACAAATGCCTGCACCATTAAGGATTTAACTTAACTCCTACCAAAACGAATTCATCAGTAGCATTTTTCACATGTGTATGTTTTCGCCTATTTCAATTAATCAAGCACATATCTATAAAATAAAGTGAGTTATTTACATTAAAATTCTTTCAAATCGCACAAATTTGTCTCCATGACACCGAAAACCAATAAAAATTTTGATTCGAACATCCAACCAATAATATCGGAACTAAAGACATATTCTAAATTTTTTTTATCGATTTCAATTCCTAATCCCAAAACGATTAGCTTCCTGAATTTGAATATAAAAATGGTAAAAGAAAGTTCTACAATTTATATTTGTTGCATCTGTGTGAAATGATTTTTGTGGTAAGTAAAAATTTTACATCCTTACTAAAATTAAAAAAAAAGTATTCTACTAATTTTTTAGATATTTGCTCAAAGTCTCCAAGATATTTTTAATTATTAAATTTGTTTCTTATATTTAACTAACACAATTTTAAAACAATATACAAATATATATTTGGACATTTTGTTTGGTTAAGTAAGGAAATGGTAATTTAATTATATTGTATTAATTATATTGTTTTGAAATTGATACTCCATATTCCACCTAAATTTTAATAATAATAATTTATTTACCAAATTTTATTCAATTGCCTAATTCAAAAAATAAAAAAACAATAAAATTGATGTGGTAGTAAGCTCTACAACAAAACAAAAGCTATCCCAACATCAGACAAGGTACGTCGCAATCAAATTAACTCAAAATTTAACTCCATTACAACCGAAGTTAAAAAATCAATGTATAAAAATGCTTACCATTAATATTGACAGCTTTCAAAAGAAAATATGACAACATAGACATTTCTGGAGGGACAAATTGTTCGCGATAAGTTGGCTTATCTTCTTTCATATTTGTTGAAGTACTACTGTGGTTGAATGTACCAAGTAGTTTCATGTTGAGTTTAACACGTTGTTTGGTGATGGAAGTGACTGTGTTCCAAACACCACTTTCATCGGTTCTATCCTCAGAACCGTTAGATTGCGATTGATTTAAAGTCGTAGTCTCGTTACGTAAAGTTGCTTTTCTCAATAACTTCTTCATTCCGCCTCCGAATATGGTCGACCAAGTTTCTGTCGAAAATTTTTGGCCAACAAGTCTATATAGCAACCGACAGTCACAAGTGGCCATGGAGTATATTAAGAGCGACATAAAGGTAGCAATAAATGACTCAAGCAGTAAAACGTTTAATTTTGGAATGTCTTCATCTTTCTCTCGTGCTAACAATGCTCTTAAATTTGTAACGCCTGGCCACTTCGCCGGAGAAGTACAAACATTTGTGGATTCATCGCAGGAGTACTTTCTTCTCTTATTATATGCATTGCTATTGCCAATTAAATGTGAACATTCGAAAAGTGAATTCAATTTGGCAATGTTTTCAATACCAGGGCTTTGAAATCCATTTAATGTTGAGTTACGATGAACAACAAAACTTTCCGAGTCACATAAAGATTGATAAATACAAGAAGACAGTGCAATTGATAAATCTCTGAGAATGAAGATTTCACAGAAAGAGTTCGCTGTAACTCCAGGTAACGGTGAAATTTTAATGATAGTCTGAAGCATATCCACCGTTTGCGACTGAAAAGATAATTAATACAAATTTAATTATGATAACTGCAGTATAGTGATTTATTGTTTTACTTTTAACATAATTCTTATATAAACTATCCTATATTTTAAGTTGGATATAACTGGACACAGTGTACTAAATTTTACTGGAGTTTACTCCAGAGAAAACGTTTGAATGAAAACAGTAGTGCTGTTGGGTTCCAACTATAAAACAAAAAAAATCTAATTCAAATATTTATACGTATATACACAGTTTTATATATGTATAGTATGTACTTTTTAGTAAAAAGATTTATTTTAATTTTAAAAATTTGTCTGTTCCCGAAAATAAAAGTTCCTATTTTGGTGAAAGAAATACAGAAAAATAATCCAGTCAACAATTCAAATTTCAAATACAAGGTGCAATTCAAAAGTTTCAGGATTTTTATTAAAAAAACGAATATTATTTGTTTCTTTTTGAAAAATTTATTGGTCGCCTTCAAAATAGCCTCCTTCCGCCTGAAAACAACGTTTTGCACATTCAAGAAGGTTATCGAATGACTTTTTTAGGTCATTTGTCCGTATAGCGTTGAGGATGGCATCAACATCTGCATAGCGGTTTCCTTTCATGGCCAAATGTAGTTTTCCAAACAAATAAAAATCGCAGGGTGCTATATCAGGCGAATAGGGTGAATGGTTGATGATATGAATGCGATTTTTGGTCAAAATGAATGTTGAATTCTGAGGTCTTTTTCGTGTTGTTTCAAAGTGTGCGGGACAAATGCGATAAATCGATGCTGCGGGTATTGATAATTCCGATTCCATAAATAATATTTAAGCGATGATTTCGGCTCTTTTTTATGAATTCACGCACAATTTTCGTGTTTTTTTCGTTCACAACATCTTTTGGCCGGCCCGATCGTTCGTCGTCTTCCAAGTCCTCCCGTCCCTCTTGAAAACGTTTAAACCACTCGTGAATACGGCTACGGGATAGACAATCATCGCCATAAACTTGTTCATCATTTGATGAGTTTTGGTAAAAGTTTTACCAAGTTTAAAACAAAACCTAATGTTGGCTCTTTGTTCGATGCTCATTTTCCGACCGACACTACAAATGTAATGCCACATGTAGCGCGATATCTCAGCTGTTATATAAATTATATACGACAACACTGAAGAATAAACAATTGAGGGATAACAATTTCAGACAAATGGCGTCACTAGAAGCCGCATTGTTTAAAAAGTCCTGGAACTTTTGAATTGTACCTTGTATTAAATGTTTTCGATGCTTACAACGCTTCATAGAGATGTGAGCCTATGCCTTTCTGAACATTAGCCAAAGTTGTGTTTTACTTGATGGATTTGCTGTTGCTACAACTCGTTCAACATTTCCCCATAAATTTTCAATTCCATTCAGGTCCAGTGTCTGCACTTTGAGTATTTTTTCATAAAGTAGTCATCATGAGCAAGAAATCCCCCGCTCAGTTTTTAAATTTTAATTTTAACAACTTTTTTTAATTGAAAATTTTTACTACTTTTAGTTAAAAAATTAATAACTAGAAAACTATTGGTGATTTTTTAATGAAATTTTCAGGAGTTATAGTTCAAAACTTTTACTTTGAAAAAATATGTATGAATTTAAATATTTTTTTTTTTTTCAAATTGTTAATTAACTTTTAAGTTAAGAAAAGAAAATTTTAATGACTTTTCCCTCAAAAAATTAAAATTAACGAAATCCGCAAAAAAATTTGACTGAGCGCTGCCGGTATAGCGCTGCAGGTATAGCAAAATGTGAGACCATCATCCCAACATACAAATGAAATATGCAACACACTCTAAGTGTTGCGTTGCCGAACCGCTATACCTGCAGCGCTATACGGCAGGCTCAGTCAAATTTTTGCGGATTTCGTTACTTTAATGTTTATTGCAAAATACTAAAAATTTTAATTTTTTGAGGGAGAAGTCAGTAAAATTTTCATTTCTTAACTTAAAAGTTAATTAACAATTTGAAAAAAAAAAAATTATTTAAATTCATAAATATTTTTTCAAAGTAAAAGTTTTGAACTACAACTCCTGAAAATTTCATTAAAAAATCACCAATAGTTTTCTAGTTATTAATTTTTTAACTAAAAGTAGTAAAAATATTCAATTAAAAAAAAATTGTTAAAATTAAAATTTAAAAACACTGAGCGGGGGATTACTTGCTCATGATGACTACTTTATGAAAAAAATACTCACATTCAAATTCGATGATCAAGTGGAAAATGGGGGGTCCACTTGACGTGTTTTTACTCATATATTAAAGTTCAAGTTAGGAGAGGTATTGCAGATGTGCGGAATAGAAACATTGCATTCCCACAAAATTCCGTTAAGATGTGAGAAATGTATAAAATGCCATAACTAAGCCATAAATTAAGATACAAATGACGAGAAGCTAAAGTTTTAAAAAGTAGGCGTGACTCCGCCACTAATAAGTTTAATGTACTTATCTCACAAACCGCTTAAGCTATATCAACCGAATTTGCTCAGAACAAATTTGTTCGGAACGTCTTCCTACAGTGGGAAAATAAGGAAATCGAATGATAACTCCGCCCGCTCCCCATATAATAACGGTTATATTGTATACTACAATACTAAAAGTGCGATAACTCACTAAATAAACACGCCTCCGGATAACAAGCGCAACCATTTAAACGCAATACGAAGGATGCAGTGAAATCAAAGAGCATTTAGATGCTGAATATGCTGACTGTTCTAGTTCGCCGAAGACTGTTTCACAGTGGTCGCAAGTCCACGATCACGTATTGTAACACTGCCGATTGAGCGTACGCAAGATAGCTGAGGCATCTCAAAATATGAGAAAGCTGTCGGCACAATGGATGTCACGTTTGCTCAACCGTGAGAGCACACCACAGCAGTATGCGACGATGTTGAAACGTATGAAGCTTCAAAGCCTTTCAAATTGGAGTGAAATATTTTTCCAGCGATCCATTTTTTTTAATTTTGGGAATGTGAAAATAGTTCATGAGAGCAAACTCAGACGACTTCGGTGGGAGAGGAACTAGTTCATAGCGTAATTTCATAAATGTATTGGTCGTATCAGAAGCTGAATCTTTTTAGATGCCAATGATGTTAACTAACTCATTCAATTTCATTTTATGGCCACCCCATGCAGTTAAACAATTTTTGAAATATTTTCTGGTGTTACTACTTCATGTGATCTCCCTGAACCGGGCGCAACAATTGACGTTTATCACAGGTATGAAATTATCGTTTTTTGTGAAAATTAAATACTAATTTTGAATAGGAAAGCAAATTCACCACATCAATTCACATCCACATAACCACACCATGAAGACATCACAATAGATATAAAAGGGACTAACGAAGGATCCCGTACGCTGCTTTTTAGCATCGATTTTACTAGCGGTGAGTGAAATCAAAATTAATTTAGTAATTGGTTATTTATATTGACCACTGCTTTTTACACATTTTGACCACATTTTTGGTGGTATCCTTGTGGATACCATGCCACCCATTAATAAAAACAAAAAGTAATCGGAAGGTGCCAATGATGAGGTAGCAGCTCCCAACCAAGTACTTTGATTGTATTCTGAACCGATTTTGCTTTGTGTGCAGGTGCATAGTCGAGTAATAAAATTACTTTGTGCGTCTTCTAGCCCATTCTGGTGGTTTTTGATCAATGGTTGATATTGATCATTTGTTGTCTGTAAAGAATAGTATTTATAACTTCACCAGGTCTTAAAACCTCCGTTTAGGATTCTTAATACAAATCCATTTTCCATTGCCAATGACAATTCGATGCAAAACTGATTTTCTTTCTTCGTGTCTTTGAAGCTAATTTTCACAACTGTTTTTTCGGTTTTCCATATTTTTTTCATTTAATTCATGTGGCACCCATTGTCCACACTTTTAGATCATTCCCATAGCTTTCAAACGGTCTGAAATTGTATGTTGTGCAACATTTGTGACAGCCATGTTAATGCTTTTGCTGTATGCTTTTGACTCAAAGTATCATCTTCATCCAAAATTGCTTTTTGGTGGTCTTCCACGTTCTTCATTTCTCCTCATAACACAATCATTATCGCTGAACCGATGAAACCATCTTTTGCATGTGGCTTCTCCATACGCCTCGACAAGCTTCGATGCAACTCTACAACGCTTTTTTTCAAATGGAAACAAAAAATTAATGCTTTCCGCAAATCATCACTTTCCGGCACAAAATTTGATATTTTCAACACAATGAAAAAATATGATGTTGTTTGTTCAATGTCTGGAAGGCTATTGAATATGTTTGACAGATGCCATGCCAACCAAACAGAAAAAAATGAAGGATCGTTCATACCGGTACCCCTGGTATAATATATACTTGCGGTTTGTTATTAGGCAAGAAATATTAAACAGAGAACGTAAATGGACGAAAAAGTGCAAATTGAATTTTGTATGATGCTCGATTGGATGGCTAACAGAGCTGAAAAATTGAAATCAGGGAGTTCACCATTTCCTGTAGTATTTGCTGTTATTTAACAGAAATGAGAATTTATAACAACGTTCTCTGGCAAAATACGTATCTCCCAACATAAAGAGAAAAATGAAATGAAATGAATGAGGAAACAAAAAACACAAATGCCACTTCACATATGCATGATTATCAATAAATTGAACAACTTTCTGATGTTCCCTCTAGAAGGGAAAAGTGACAACCCTGCATGCATACAAAACACAGAAAAAAGTGACGAAAGTGGCAACAAAGCTTTTGCCGATTAAAAATATTTTACAATTTTATATATTTTACAATTTTATATATTTTACAATTTTAAAATATTTTTCCGTGTCTCACAAAAATCTTCGTCAATATGTATGCATGTTCATATATAAACATACATACTTACAATGATTTGTGGGCAAAACTATTAGAGCGGCAAGGAAAGCGATGACAATCGACGAGCGTTCGTTAATTTTTCGGCACATCTTCGGATTTTCTACCAACAACACAATGTTGTGACGCT